GACTACGTCTCTCGGCTGGCCTGGGAGCGCCTAGGGCTTCCCCCAGCAGAGCTGGAGGAGGTGTCTGCGGAGAGGGAAGTCTGGGAGTCTCTGCTTAGTCTGCTGCCCCCGCAACCCGGTTCCGGATAAAGCGGGAGACGACGAGTACGAGTACCTTTAATGTATGTACACATGTACGATTGCTAATTTGGGTTAGCAGTCACTTCAATGAATTAGACTAGAATGATATATAGACCCTATAGACCAACAAAACAAAGAGTAATTACTTGCAGAAATGTGAACTTCGTATCTGCTTTTAATCACATGCCATGTTTTCAGATAAAAAATATTATACACCTGTGAACACCAGAGTAGCAATGCTGGTCAGAACTAAAGATAGAATATTGTCAAAACTTTTTCATATTAAATTTAGCATCTATTATCTTTTTATCAACTATTGTGATGAATGAAGGGCAGATAGGACTCACCACAGAGTCCTTTTAAATCCCTGGGTAAGGTTCTAGTCCATTAAGTCTCCCCTACTGCTCTCAAACACTATTACTCCTTGATTCCTCTTCCTCATTAATAATTTACTACATACATTTAAAACTTCTGTAATCAAACTTGGCTTTGAGACTCTGCTATCTTTCTCATCTAATCATATCGCTAAACACTGATGTAGCTTTAAGTATTCCATGCATTATATGTAATATTTGTTTGACATCTGTGATCTTCAATGCATTTGCAAATTCAAAAGAGCAAGGAGTCAATATTTTCCTTGCAAAACAAAGACAAAGCAAAGGTCCGGGTCCTCTTACTGCAGCAGTGTTACACTTTTTGAAGCAGTGTGTTGAGTTTTATTTGTCAAGCCTCTATTTAGTCTACAGAATACTATGTGGTGCATGACTTCATTGCTCTCTGTCATTGCTGTGATAAAATGTTTTTATTTTTCTCTCATGTATGTGGGTGGTTCTGACCTAACTGTAATTTGTGTTGGGAGTAAAAATTAAGGGGAACTGCAATGTATGTGCCATAAATTTGGACATGTCATGATGTTTTTTATTTATTCCCTTAACCTTGCTGCAGTTTTTTAAGTTGGGCATGTTGATGGTCAAACCTACAAATCTCCCAGTTTTCCCAGAGATGACATTGCTCCTCCTCTCTACAAGGCTGTTTCTCTCTGGGCTACACTAAACCCCCACAATTACCGCTTTGACAAACAGGAGCTAGACCATAGTGCTTATACCTTGAAAAGGCAAAGCAAGTATTTCTGTTTATTGTTCTATAATAGATGAGAAAAATATGAACATTTACATTGAAATACATCTTTTTTCGTTCTCAAATTTTAGCTGCATTCTATCGATTGTGTCGCCGAAAATTTATACAACCACTGTTTTACATTGTAATACAAGTTGTACACTGACCACTTTAATGTGTCAAAAGGTAATATTCACAGTCTTGTCTCATGAAAAGATATAACCAATTATCAACAGAAACGTGAGGGATGTACTCTGTTTTATATGCAAACCAGGCAGATATTTGTTTATGCATATTACCTATGATGGAGCTAATTTTCTGTTGTGAAATAATGACCTTTATTAACAATTTTAAAACAAGAAAGTGGTGGGCAAAAAGGGAGAAAAAAGTGCAACAAAGAATCTGGGGTAAGAAGTTTAATCCTGAATGACAACATCGATAAGAAGTAGCCTAAATGTATGGGGGGTCCCCTCCACTCCACTGCTACTTTACATTTCTTCCCAATGATGCTGAATGTTTCCAAACGAGATATTGTTTCTTTTTTTTACCGGTAATTGGAATTTACTGATCATCCATCTATCTTCTCCCGCTTATTCCCTCGGGGTCACAGTGGACCACACACACATACACTCACGCCGAAGGTCAATTAAGAGATGCCAATTAACCTCACAGTCATGTTTTTGGACAGTGGGAGGAAGCCGGAATACCTGGAGAGAACATGCAAACTCCATGCAGAAAGTCCCCGGCCCAGGAATCGAACCCGGAACCTTCTTGCTGCAAGGCAACTCTGCTAGAAACTGCTCCACTGTGCAGCCCATTTGTTGATCTTTTTACTCTTTATTGATATGTCAAAAACTAAAATTTTACAGGACATGGACTATTTTAGTTGTGAAAAGTTCCGAATTCTCTAAAATTAGCTGTAAAACAGCTTCTATATGAATTAAAGTCTTGTTAGTGATGCACTAGAAAATGAGCTGTAGAAAATATTGTTTGAAGGACCAACCTTACAGAACGAGTTGCCTTAAAACACTGACAGTCAAAGCTTGGAAACTAAAGAAGTTATCTATTTTTAACATGTGCTATTGTTATCGCTTTGGAACTAAAGTTGGTAAAATAAATGGTGTAAGGTGTGCGTTGGATAAAATTATTGAACTGAATAATTTTAGCTCAGGTCTTCGTACGTGAGAATTTTATACCAGATTTCACAATGGTGGACTCTCCCCTACAAGATTTTATGGTTTTTCACTTAGGAGCTGCTTCAGCCATCAGCTGCTTGCAATGTAATGTTTCCTGGCAGCTGTTGCGCTGTCAGGTTGTCTGCGTGTCTCTAACAAAGAGAAAGTGATAGCAGCAGGAGCCCTCGCCAAGCCCGTGGGACAGTCGGAGAGAGGAACAGACGGCAGAGTCGTTCCACTGGAAGCATATGGTGAAACTCAAGTGTGTAATCTACCAAGGACCACGGGTGGCCCTGAGCTGCACATACACACGAGTGCACATTCACACAATGACAGGGTGTAATTTACCTGTTGGGGGCTGGAGGGCCTACGGGTGGGCCAGTCTCCAGTTGCACTTGTCATACATGTGGCAGCTCGAGCACGGCTCACACTAACACGAGGACAGTGAAACAAAATTTCCCAGACAGGAAGACCACAAGAGCAAGATATCCCACAGCACTATGAAGGTTAGAGACACAAAGGTAAAGACCACAACTTTACTCTGTGGGAGTTTCTTTACACACTGCATCACATCCTTTCCAATTCACCAACCTGGCTCATTTTCAAAGCCCCAGCTAGCCCCCTGAGAGGGAGGGAGAGGCAGGAGAAAGAGATGAAGGCTTTGCATGGGCAAGTGAAAAGGGAGGAAGAATGATTAGAAGAGTACATCCCTCCCCACATTCCTGCACTGACCTTCAGAGTGGTGTGGCACTACAGCTATCATCAGCCCACCATGCTTTACAGTTGACTGCTATTGATGGGTGGGATTCTTATCACCGCAAGTCCTGCATGCTCCAACCCGGTGACACAGCAACCGTGAACAGAGATTATTGAGTTTTGCTCAGGGATTGACAAACAGGGTGTCCCAGACATTTACAGTTGGCAGAGTTTGAGACGTCTGGTTGTTGTGAAAGGTGATTTGATAGCCCGTCAGCTACTTGACAAATGTGAGTGAGTTTGTCTTTTTGATCTTCTTTCCCAGCCAAGGGGCTTTTACTTCACTCCAGGTGCAGAGAAGTCAACCGGAGGGCATGGGAGGCTCATGCAGATGAGACGACACGCCTAAAACGCACACGCATAGACACACGGGAGTGACAGGAAGTTTCCTTTGAATAACTGCGGTTTAAACTGGTTAACCAGTCCAGTGGTGTTACAGTGGAATGCCTCTGAAGACTCAGTAATGTGCTTTAGGATAAACATTTAAGTTACTGCCTCTGCAACAGGACATCAATCAGTCCCAAGCAGCAATACTGAGAGAAATGAAAGGTGAAAGGATCAGCTGGTTCAGTGGGTAGGCTAATGACAATGTGTAGGACAGCAACTTGAAAGGTGGCGCTGGCTTTCTTTGCTGCTGGTTAGGGCTGATTGAGCAGAGTGGGCTAATTGGACCGCTGCATTCAAGACACTAACTTATTCAACAGGTAAAATATTTTCTTTAATATTCACGCAACTCTTCTAAAAATGCACTTGGTTGCAGTCAACACAGTAAACATAATCCCTCTCAGTTACTCCTCTGGAACTCCACACAGCGACTCTGTGTGGTCCATAATGAGCTCAACAAACATCTGCTACTCCTGTATTAGAGGCCGCATCTCATCCTGTAATATGCAGAAATTAGAGTGCAGAGACTCATTCAGCCTGTTTATACACACACACATTCACAAGGAGCAGACATAACATAAGGAGTCCAAGTGTTTTTATACAGCTCAACCGACGCTCTAACATACCATCTTAACACCACAATTTTCCATCCACACTAGTAAAACACTACCGGGTGTCTTTGGTTTCTCTCCTTGAGTTCTTCTTTTCCAAACAATAAATCTATTTTAGAAGGCAGGGATACTGAAATAAATTAATATATTTTAATTTTGGAAAAGTCTTTCATGATTTTTCAAATAACATATAATTGTTTATTTAAGTTTCTAGGGTATTTATCCTCAAAAAACCTTGCCAGACAGTTATGTAACATTGATAGAGCAAAAAGGGTGGAGGAACAGCACCACCTAGTGATATTTTTGTAACATGTGCTTCTGATCATCTTTTTTTTTTTTAACCTAGAAATCAAGAACTGCTTCTAAATGATCCAGATTCCCTACCAAGGCAATTGTACTTGTGAATAGCAAAAAGAACGAGAAATGCACAAATCACTACTTCTTTTTCAAGAATCATCACATTGATTATTAAATTATAGGATGACCAACAGTGGAAGCCCAGCTACTGTGGTTTGCTGTCTCATTGGGCCAATAGGAAGACAAAGGTGAACTAAAAAAGTAACGAGGAAAACACAAACCAAAGCAAAACTGCAAAAAAGTGAAATAAAAGCGAAAGTAAATAGAAAAAAGGAAAATGAATCAAAACCCATAATTTGAAGAACTTAATATTTTAATAATGACAACAATTACATTTCTGCTTGGTGACAGGAGACATAATGTAACGACCAAAACAAACTAGTACTCTAAACTGAGTAGATTGCCAAATGTCCATGTAGCTTAAAATGATGTTCAAGCTAGCCATCACATTATATCACGTCTTCGTTATTTTTCCATTTGCTTTTTGTTGCTCCAATCACTTGCTCAGGTCCTGCTGCACCTCTTTGAGGATCTGCTCCTCCAGTTTGGTGGTATCATACTCCTTCAACATGTCGTATTCCAGCCAAGGCTGTGCATGCTTCTGGGCACCCTCTATCTGTCGGGGTGTCATGCACAAGTCGAATCGGATGCCCTGGATGTTGAACTTGGGTCGTTCCCAGCGTTTGGACCAAGGTTTTGGCCGCATTTTTACTTTGATCTGGAGAACAGAGAGGGAAAGAAAGGCTTAATAGTTTAAATTTCATTTTTTTTTTTCCTTTTTCTGCTGATAAGTGTTACAATAGAGTTTAGATGACAAAACTGGCCTTCAAAAAAAAATAGACAAACCCTTCATTTATATGTAGTTGGCTGTATAAATGCTATTTGTTTCTTATAGCAGCTTAAGATCAAACGATTCATCAAAGCTACATTATACACGCACAGAAATATAAAGACCTTGTATAAAGGCTGATGAAGAGCAATGATTAAAGTAATTTAAGCAGAAACAAATGAAATCTCAAACTTAGGAATCTAACAGCCCTCTCACCTGGTTTAAAGGTACCTCTCCAGTAGGGGAGAAAGGAACAGGCTTCATTTCTGGGTCCACTGTGCTATACTCAGGCAGGGCATCTCTGAGGTACATCAGATTATCGTCCAGTCTTTTCTCCAACTTCAGGACTTCAATTTTCTGGATCCGTGGGCTGTACAACTCGTAACATATCTCAACACCTAGGATACACACACATTTTACCCAGTGCTCATTAATCTCACTGTTTCAACCCGTAAGAAGTGACCAAATTAATGACCAAGACAATAAAATAAGGCACATGTATCCATAGCTTTTGATCATTGTGCCACAAGGCTGTTAAATAATAAAGATATAGGGGTAAACTGATCTGATATTCCAACTTAAAAGTAATGGACTGGTTTTGGAACTAAGTCAGGCAAAAAAATAAATAAATAAAAAACAAAAAAAATAAAATAATAATAAAAATAAAACATACAAAGACTTTAACTGGAACCACTGGATGGTTCTGGTGAGGGGGGATTAACATGTGAAAAAGCACCACTTCTGTTAAAGCTAGTGGATGTTCTGCCATGTTGTTGATCTGGGGAGCGAGCTAAAGAGTTCATAACTTACTCCATAGAATAAATTGTATACCATAAGATTTTCCTAAATAATCCAACATGTGAATTTGTTTCCTCAATAAACGATAACTATTTTTTTTAACTAGCTTTTTAATTACCTTAAGTAGAAGGACCAAAAATGTTGGGTACAAAAGCATAAGAAAAATTATTTCCTGTGTTCTTTTTTATTTCTTTTGATTTTATCTATATGTAAGAGGGATGAAAAATTACCTAAAAAAATAAATACATAAATGAAAAAATAATACACGGAACATAAATCTTATAATTGTATAGATATGTTGTGGTCAGGAAAAAGCTAATTCCTGGGCGGGGGGATTTCCCTATTTGTGTATTTTCTCCTTTTATTGTGTTTTAACACCTTGATTGATTTATTTCTACATTCATTTATTTTTACTGTAACTTATCTCTTCCCAGATTTATTTCAGTATTTCTACTTTTATTTATTTATGTCTCCTTTTCTGTCCTTTTCTGTAAGGAATTGTCCAGTATAAAAAATATTTGTGAACATCAATATCCCATATTAATATTGCTGTTTTAGTTGATATCTGTTACCGTTTATAATATAAAAATGTCTCTACTCTTTCAACACTGCAACCAAACAGCTGACGTTGCTTTTTTGCTTTACCTAAACACCCCATCATCCTGTGCTGGATAACAAACACTGTAAAATGCCCACAAATACCACATGACCAACGATGTGGTTTCAGGTGAGTAATTCATTTGAGTACAGAGTGAGCTTCTGACCGTTTACTGTTGAAAAATTTGGCTTTGTAGAATTGCACAGAAGGAGAAATAGAAAATCCTGCACTTAATTGCTATTTTTAAATCCCCTTTTTAGCAATTTATCTTTATTTTAGGGGTGGGACGCAATAAAAATATTTACTCATGTTATCTACAGGGTCTCTAATTACTGAATGGAAAATAATTAAATTTTCTTCGGATATCAAATGCATTTGAGAAAATAAACCATCTTTACAATTCAAAATAACCCTTTTTTGCCCAATAATTGAATAAATAATTACATGAGCCAAAAAAACACGCAATAATTATTATTCTTTTTAATCCGACTATTTTGGTTATTCAACAGCTATATTTGTTTAAAGTTATAATACGTTCTTTTTTTTCATTTTTTTTAGAAACACCTGATATTTTATACAATTACTATGAAAAACAACTTCTATAGAAATGTGAAAAAAACATGAACATTGATTTCAGCACAATTACTTCCAGTAAATATGATACAAAAATATATAGCAACATGGCACCATATAGAGATGTCCTGATGCAGATTTTTTTATTTATGATGGGATATAGATACAGACCCTATGCTCACACAAATCATGCTTTTTCTTTCTTTACTTATTTTGTATTGCAGAATACTTGATCAAGTGATATTACCGAAACAGAGCGCAATAGTCAAGAACAATAGACATGAGAGCATCTCAACTTGGTAATATTAACCAATGAGCTAAAGAAAATTTAAACAGATGCAGAGTTTTTCGACCAGCCTGACAATATCATTTAGATACAGGCCGAAATAATCCAATATAAGTTTTCTGCTAACATCGGAATGATATCCGGTAATAAGATTTTAGATCGGGACATCCCTACTTACAATATTGCCTGTAAACAGAAGATAAAGTTTCATTTCTAATACTGACCGTTCAGCGCTGCATAAAGCATTGCTCAACTATTTCTATTCAACATGCAACATTTAGTGTAATTAAAACATTTACCGTGGAGGGTACCATTTCTCGTTTAGCCTGTTCCCTAGATGATCCATGTTCTAGGTCCTAGGTCCTTCCTGTCAGCACTATTTGGATAAAAAAATATTACGCTGACCCCGGAGACACTTCTGCCTTAGCTTAGATGTTAAAACCAGTTTAAAGTATTCAGTACGAGCAATGATGGTTTGTAATCCCGATGCTGGTCGTGAGTCAGATTTACGGTTGTACAAGAAACAGCGATTACAAAGGTTCCCACTAGGGACTTCATTATGAATATAAAACAAATTCAATTAATATGTATTTTTTTTATTTTTTAAACATTTAAAATGTTAAGCATTGTTTTAAATGCTTCTAATTATTTCAACCAAATTACCGTATTAAAGATTGTGCGTGACCTAACCAACCATTACTAAAATGGTCAGATACACTTGGATTAGTCAGTTTGTCCATGATTAGGGGTGCAACTAACGGTTATTTTGCAAATCGATTAATCTGGCAATTATGTTATATTAATTAATACTATACTATTAATCGATTACTAAATTGATTGATACTAATCGATAAATCAGGACTAATCCGATTGTTTCAGCCCTACCTATGATAACCCATTAATTCAACATTTCAAAGAAGCAAGAACTTAATGATATAAACCTAAAAAACTTGAAAACATTAAAGAAATGACCCAAAACGTTCACTCTGTGATCAAAGAGTCATACTACATCTTCCTATATTTAGAAATATAACCTAACCTTAAAAGTGCTTCAAGCCTGAAAAACACATTTGGTTTTCATGTATCATGTATAGCCCCAAGAATTCATTTTCATACAAAAAGAAATATCTAAAATAAAAGGGGGTGTAATTAAAATTTTCTCCTATATGGTATTCATGCTTATTTATTATAAAAAGTTTGGAGAAGAGCAAACCTTACCTTGACTGTTCACAATGTTTCTTAAGATAAAAGTGGCCCCAAGCCCTTTCCCACCCCTCTGGATGCAAATTCCGACAAATCGATTTGTTTTCCCACTAGCATTGGGATCAGCCATGGTCACTGCAAGGATGCTGCCTGAAAGTAAAGAAATTAAAATAAGAAAACATGATTTTTGGATGAATAACATGGATATTAATAAAATGATAACGCATTTTTGCTTCCTTATTACTATTTTATACACGATGTCTTTTTCAGAGCCTGTCCAGTTATTTCCAATCAATATTCTCCAAAGGTTACTGGAATAAACCAACAAAACTTCTGTAGTGTTTCTTTGGCTTTTATAAAGATTGGAGGCTTTACTTTAATGTGCTGATAGTCATTTTTTTTCACCCTCTTCTGGCAAGGTGATGAACTTCAACCCAACTTTCCTGCCTAATGATGAAATGTCAATAGTCAATAGATCCAATACAGTTTTTGTATTAAGGTTTAAATCAGGTAGTTTTTTGTTTGTTTTTATTTTACTGCCAATCTATCTTCTTTTTTGTGAACTTAACTAGGCCTGCAACTAACGATTGTTTTGCAAATTGATTAATCTGTTGATTATTTTTTCCATTAATAATCGGAATGCCAAAGAGTCTTTAGAGATGACTTTTCACTAAATTAAAGTAGGTGTAACTAAAACTTTTCCACTTGTTTAGTTCTGGATAGAACATATTGACAGACAACAATAATTGTGGCTCTAACACGGTTAGCTAAAGGCATGTTTTAGAGCCCCCATAATCCAGTTAACGATTAATCGATTACTAAATTAGTTGAAGTTTATTTCAATAATCGATGAATCACGATTGTTTCAGCCCTAAAATCAACTTACCGGTACATCAATTGACATCGAATTCTGACCAATTGTTAGTCATAGCTAATGCAAAATTCCAAATTTTTTGTTGTTTCCAGATTTCTTTAGCTTCTTAGATGTTTGATCGCAGATACTGATATCTATGGACATACACACAGACTAGTTTGAAGCTTTAACACCTCAGCAGGTAGAAATACAGTGGAAAAGTTAATCAATGTCCTCGATGGAGCAGATGTAGCGGTAACTAGTAGGCAACTCTGCTTGCTATGGAGGATCACGATTCATTTATAGGTTCCAATGGTTTTATAATGCCTGTTCTGCATGTCCTCCCTGGTCTCTTCTCTGTTGACATTGGTTGCATACACAAAAAAAAAAACATCAACAACAAACATACTAATTACAAAGGAGCACCAGCTCTGCAGAAGGTATCTTCTCAGCTAATTAAAAAAAAATGGATTTACATTGATAGAAATTAGCTTAGAGTTGGGAGGGTGGCTTGAAAAATTTTACCTTAGCTAATATAGTTTCTCTCTCCATTTTTTTCAGTTGTGATTTGTAATTGTTGATACTACAATGAAAGTTCAGCTCATATTAAAATAGGTAACTTAGTCTACATATGTTGTTTCTGTCCATTTACCATTAATAATGAGTTTCAGAATTTAGGTAGCTTTTAGTGACCAAGAGCCTACAAATATGGGAGCGGGTTGAGAATGCAAGCATACTTCAAGTGTAGCATAATTATTATTCCTTTTCATAATACAGTTGCACGCAAAAAAAGAAAAGGAAAATCTAGAAACGAAATTGCAACTACCAAAAGTTTTTTTTTGTTTGTTTGTTTTTTCTGGGTGGGGATAAATGAAAGGCAAGGTTCAGATAATTATAATGGTGAACTGTGATCCCCTTAAAACATTTAGGCTCTTACCCACATAGAATTCAGGAATGTTTAGCATTTTCCTCCTGCGAATCATGTCTTTCCTCTCCAAAAAGAATTTGAAAGGATCTGTCCTCTGCCTGGGAGGGACAAACTCTGGGCTCAGAAACCTGAAAAAAAAACGAAAAAAAAAAAAAACAGCAAGCTTAATCCACTGCAGCAGACGAATGTGAGCCATTCTTATGGGATTTTAACAACATGATGCATACGCTGTAAGAATAATCTTACTTCCTCATAGAAGCCACAGTCTGTGTCTTATCCACTATAACAGGTTTGGAAGGAGGGACAAATTTAGGAGGGTCGCTGTCCGCCGCAGGGCGACACGCAGATGTAGAAAACACCCCTGAAAATATTTAGGAAAAAAAGTGTTTAACGGGTAGTTGTTTTTCCCGTGGGGTAAACCGGGACACCTGCAGGTTCTATATATACTATGTATATATACTATAATATAAATATACTTACTTTCATACTGGAGCTGCAATTTTCGACAAAAACGCAGCGATGTAACAATTTTATCAAGTCCTCTAGAGCAGGCCGCCATGTCTGACCTTGTATCGTCACATTGTACGGAAACAGTAAAAGCCCAAAACGTTCGAAACGCGTTTACGGGAAACTGGAGCAGCAGCTTCAAACACAAGATGGCGCAATTGCACCATCAGTTATCCGTCGCTTCCTGATAAAGTTTTGAAGGTAAGAAAATATATATATAAATAACAAAACCTGAAAAAAAAAAAAAAAAAAAAAAAAAAAAATATATATATATATATTTTTTTTTTTTCTTCAGGTTTTGTTATTTTTTATTATTATTATTATTATTTTTATTATTATTATTATTATTATTATTATTATTATTATTATTATTATTATTATTATTATTATTATTATTATTCTCCAACCTTAATTACTATGGAGCTTGAATATCGCCTCTGTCTACTCTATCAAAAAAGTGAGGTTCTTAAAGTTAAATATTATTATACAAACCATTTAAGCTTGAATTATTGTTAAACATATTTAAGATTTTTATAGAACAAATATTGGACTGTTCATTAAGTGATTTCTGAAAAAAACAACATTTTGCTTGCTCTGGATTTTATCTAAATATATCAGAGTTAATGGAAGGATAAAAATAAATTATATATGATAGTAAATCATGTATACCACACAAACTCCATATGAAACGATTGTTATTGTAAACAGGGGCCCTAGTATAAGCAAATAAAGACAAAGCATTTACAAGGTGTACCAATTTTGAAGAAGTCTATTTGAATGATTTACCTATTATATGTGTAACTCTGCATTAAATAGGCTACTACATTTGTTTCAATGAGACGTTTCGCCCTGCTTCTGTTTTTCTGTGATCTCCTGGATCTTGATACCGAGGGTGGCGCAGTTCCAGCAGGTGGAAAGCCTCCTCCTTCCAAGCGCAGTTTGGACACAGCTTCAGACCCAACCCTCTGCGATCCAAGAGGCAGTGTGGAGGAGGGAGGATGAAGGAAGTCTAGAAACATGGGATCGCACATCTCTAAAAGCTGGAATCTGTTACCGATGGGTTTCTTTCAATGATTCGGAGTCGATTCCAACCTTCGAGGCTTCAATGATGTTATTCTCAGATTGGACTCTCTCAGTCGTCAATTTTGCGCTTCTATTAGGAATAACGTGTCTGAGCGTCACCTGTGATTTCACCAAAGGCTCTCCGGACTTATCAGGTGGGGATTCCTTTTTTGAGTTTCAAACTTTAAATTTAAGAACAACAACAACAAAAAAAAAGATATTTATAGGCTAATCGAATTGTCCCATACATATAAAACTATAATGCATATTTACTTATGCGTAAAACAAAGTTCTAACTTGCATTTTCATCTGCAACTTACACTTAAAATGATTATTAAATACACCTTTACTAAAAACAAACGCTACAACTTTGAGCGCTGATTTCATTCCTGTATCGCATCAGGTTGTTTTCCCATGTCGACCCGCGCCTCTGCGTGCTGCAGCATGCGCTCTCAGATGTTTGCCTCGTAAACCCATTCAGATATTGCCTACAACTTCAACGCGGAAAGGAGAAAAAAAAGTTAAATGGAGCAGAAGGTTTTGCCTGCTTTAAGACCCACTTTCTGTGGAACGATCCACACTTCAAAAAATAGGTTGTAAAGGTAATTATAGTAGTGATGATGCGGCTGGTAGAATGATTTGTATAATGTGGTTAATATGTTGCTAGTATGGTCTTTTGCATACTGATGTGGATCAAGTACACTGCCTCCTGTTTTCTGGTATTGCTTTGAAAGCTACTGTAAGACATTACAGTGCATCTGATCTGCCTTTTTTTTCATCTTCTACAAAATAAACATACAAAGTAAGTACTGTAAGACATTACTACTGCAGTACTCTGAAAACCTTTTGCCTTTCAATGTTTTGCAGATTTCTGCATTGCTGTCACATTAACATGTTTCACTTCACCCAACTCTAACTGTCACGAAAACATACCCTGAATACAAAGTTTAGTTTCTAAATGATTATTTCAATTGCTTCGGATGGAACATGCCCTAGGATTAGCTGGGAGAGAGCACAACCAAGTTCCACTTTTCTGCAATCATTTCCAAAGAAGGTGTCATTTGGCAGATTTTAGGCAGGCCTTTATTCTAAATTTACCTTAAACTAATTCATGGTTGTCTTTTGTCCACATTAGTCCATTTCTTACTGTTGAATCTTGGCACATTTGGCCTGCACTGCTTTTATTTATCTGGGTTATATTGTGAACACCTAAGATAAGATAAGATAAGATAAGATAAGATAAGATAAGATAAGATAAGATAAGATAAGATAAGATGAGGAGAGAAGATAGACTGTATTGATCTCACAGTGAGACAATGTCACTTGTAAAGTCAAATCAATAGTCGAAAGACGGTGCCAAAAGTAGGAAAAGGTACATGGGGAATATACAGTGTGTCCACACACACTTAGGTGTACCCCGCCTCTCGCGCGTAGACAGCTGGAGATAGGCACCAACACCCCTCGCCACCCCACTCGGGATAAAGTGTGTCAGAAATGGATATATCTATATCTATCTATATATAGATATAGATAGATATAGATATAGATATATACACACTAACAGCTGGAGTCACAGGGTATTGAGTAATGATTGCTCTTTAGTTCTTTGACAAGCTATTGCAGCTGTAGTGTAAATATTGTAAAGTGTGAACCTGAGAGAGTTGATCCATTCTCCTGGAATTTTTTATCAGTGTTCCATTAATTAATGTGTGTTCCATGTTATCTTTGTGTTTAAAGGCTCATGCCACAATGTGACGTTGTACCAAAGCCTTAGCAATGGGTTGGTAATTTTACTCAGCTTTCCAAAATGTGATTAATCACAATATATTTTTGACATAGGACCAGAATAATCCAGGTGGATTTCTTTCCCTTTAGAAATAAAATGAGCATTGGGAAACTACATTCTAAATTTGCTGTTTTCAAATGTGTTAGATGGTCTGAAATATTGCAATTGACCCAAAAAGCACGGAAAAATAAAAGGAGTCACTTTTTATACTCTTCCACAGCACTTACTTGCTCCATGTTGCATAATAGTCTGGGGAACCTGGGAAGTCTGAAGGCTTTATTTACGGTGCTATAAAACAGGAAGGAGGCTTTGTCCTCAGTGTTAATTAGCCTCTAATGGGTGTAGTGGTTGGAAACAGCAGAGTGACACTGCGGTGAAAGTTGCTAATCAACAGATGTGTGAAACATACTCCCCTGTGTATGATTCTTGATAGTGTCTAATGAGCTGCTAAAGATCATGGTCTAGGGATGCCTGTTAAAGCTGTAATTACCACATATGTGTGAGTGGGTGTTTTTTGTCACACATAGTACTGCTAAGCAGATTATGAGGTGCTTAATTCAGCAGGAGCCAAAAAGATTTCACATTTGGGCTTACTGGTTCACGCTAAGCGATGCTAGATGATGCAAGTTTTTTCCAGTGATGCTCTTTCAAACTCCTTTTACACCAGTGAGAAATGTCTTCCAAAAAATCTTGGCTTAATTGTAGCCCTTTATAATACCAAGATGCTGTTTTCTTTCTTGTGAGCTAGAGGATTGCACAAAGATGCTGCGTAAACATCCCCAAATGAATGATAAGTGAAAGAAACTGCCAGAGAATACCTTTGGGGACAAAGACATCCCCTGTCCTCACATTCTTCACCAGTTGAAATCTCCTGGGAAACAACCGAAAGATGTTTGATTGACTTGTTGTGTTAGCTTCTTCACTGACAGAAAGTAGCTGTATAACCATGTTGTGCAAGTTTGAACATTCAGAGCAATTTAACCCCACTTCCCCCTAAAAACAGCCTTGACCAATTTCATCTTTATTTTTCAACTGCACAAAAAAACTTATTAAGAACCTTAATTTAAGGATGTTGCTGAAAGACCCAGTTACAATTCTTTCTCCGTGGTAAAGAGAGTGAGATCTTTATTTACAATAATCAGTGATATATGTAAATAAATAAATGTAAATCCCTTTTATTGTCCCACAATGGGGAAATTCGCTCTCTGTATTTAACCCATCCGCCTTGGCGTGCAATGGGCTGCCATTGTGTAGCAGTGTGTTTTGCTCAGGAACCTAGAGTGGAGGCGGGGGGGATCAAACCAGGTACTTGCAACCTTCCGAGAGCACAAGCACACTGCTCTAACCCACTAGGCCAACACTCCCCCTTTTATATACCCTCATTTGACTCTGAGACTCTATTAAAGAGAATGAGTCCAACACATCAAATCTCCTTCACTAGATGAGATGTAGGCATAAGTTATTTGTCCATATATTTTTTCTTTTTTATGCCTCAATCGTCATCAACCTTTATAGAAGACTTGAAGCCAGGACACCTTCTTGTTTTATCCCTGAAAAGACCAATGAGGCAAGGTAGGGTCGAGGTCAACTTGCCACTGTTATATACCACCCACTGCATGTTGGCCAGGCTTTGGTAAAATACCACGAGAGACAACATACGGTTTCCACCAAGAGTTTTGTACATTATTAGGTGACTTTGAAAACTAAAAAAGAGTCGATCCAGTCATAGACTCGCAACCAAGTTGTTTAACCCTTAAAAATGAGACATATCTAACTTGTTTCTGTAGCACTTTATGTCAACTTTAGCTTTATTTTTATGAAAGCCTCTTAATTCACCACCAGTTGGCCTAGAGGGCGATAAATGAACAGGGAAAGTCATTTTAGAGATGGGGGTCATTTTGTGGCTTAATAACAGAACTGTTTTGTGAAATAGGCTTTAGTTTCATCTGACCAAAGCTTGTTATGCCATGCTGAGTTCCAGCAAAGTGTTGGAATACAGCATAAGTGTTGGAAAACAGAAAAGTTTTTTTTTTTTTTATTCAAGCCAAACAGTTGATTGACATATAGCAGCTTCCAGTTGTTGCAAATCTTTGTTCCAGTAACCTTAAAGTGAACTTTAGAGTTTGCTTTCCTGCTTTTGCCATCCCTATTGGAAGCCCCTGGTAGATGGATAAGACTGGGCCCTCTTCTAACTTGTCGGTCATGTTTATTTATGAGTCAGGTAAAAGGTTTACGCCTTTGAGCCAAGTAAAAAAAACAGG